TTCATTGTGCTCTCTTTTTTTCTTTCTTTTTTTCCCGGCCCCAAATTCCGAGCCCCGCGCCTAGGGTGCCCGCTCGGACGCTGCCAAAGTCCGGCGTGCCTTCGGGGGCTCTCTGGAGGTGGTGCTTTGGAAAGCCTGCACTGGGGCCGATTTTGCTAATCCTCCGAAAAAAGGAAAAAAAAAAGACAAGAAAAAAAAATGAAGGTTTGAAAGCACTTATCTCGGTTCCTCCCCAGTGGGTAAAATGGCGAAGGGGAAGCAAAACCCCCGTGGTAACTTCGACTAGCAAAAGCACCAGGACAAACAAAGCCTTACAGTGAGTGGCCCAAGTGTCCCCGCATTCGCCTTGAAATTTGCCTACTTCTTCCCGCTGCTCCATTTTTTTGGTTCCTTGCGATCACGTAGGTTTGCAAAAAGCAGTCACATAAAAATAACCTTTTCCGTTGTCACCAAATGCAGTGTGATCACTAGGCCACCCCAACTCTTGATTTTTTTTAATTATAATAAAACACTTATTTTTCTTTTCTTTTTTTTGTTTCATTTTGTTTTCTTTTTTTCTTTCTTTTTTGCCCGGCCCCAAATGCCGCAGAGCAGCCCGCTGCCGCCCGACACCGTACCGTTGGCGACTCGGGTCGATCCATCATGGCTGCGGCCGCTTACCCTGCTTTTCAGTGCCTGCGCCTTGTGGTCCTCCTCCCTTTGGCTGCCCTGTTTATATAGAGCCATTGCCGCTCTCTAATATAGACTCTGCCAGGATGGGAAGGTGCTTTTCAGGCCTACGTCACCGCCTCTCCATTTAAACACCAGATCCGGCTTTAAATAGTGAGAGCTGCTGAGCGCGGGGCTGGGAGGTGCGTGCTCCCGAGGCGAGAGGCGCCCGCGTGCGGAGCTCAATTTATTTCTAGGTTCCTTTCACGCCGAAATTTCGCTTCCGAGCCGGGAGGCTGCTTTCACAGATCCGAGTGTGTTTTCCTGTAAAAGCTAGGGTATGCTGCCTTTGTTTGTAGTGGGAAGTAGGCCAGAATTACAGCATTGTTTTATTTTTTTCTTTATAGAATTTAATTTTTAAACCATTTTAGACCACATATGATTTTTTTGTCCCCTTGAACTTTTTTTTTAAACGTTCTCGGTTTAAAAAATATTGTACATTAAATGTTTCTCCCACAGAGGACTTGGGTTTGGTAGTGTTTTGTTCACCAGGTATTCAGGAAATGTTAGAAATACAGCGCCTAATGTTTTATCGTGTTTTCTTAATACAAACACACAAAATATGAAGTGACAGAAGTTTAGTCACCCGAGAGATCTTTCTGCCTACAATACATTGATATATGAGGTACTAAACTGAATTTTAAGCATTAAAGGTTAGGTGGTGGTTTTAATTGTATCAGTGGCTAACATGGGGTCCAGTGTAACAACCCACACAATTTACATAATATTGTGCCAGAAAATTAGTACTTTCTGAAAAGAACCTTCCAGTGAATCACTAGATAATGCTACACGAGGCCTCTAATTTACGGCTTTCAAAGTTTGGAATATTGCCTTTTGAAAGGACATATCTAAATGACTTTTTATACAGTAGAGACAAACCCTGGCCCAAGAGAAGGTTAGAATTTAAGCATTTCCCTTTTTCCCTTCAGCCATAGTGAAACCAGATTTGTACCTAAGTGTCTGAACCTCAGAAGATTTGGGGATAACTGATTTCTGAAACCTTAAAGCATCTGGTCTCCTGGAAATTTGTCCTACCAATTTAAAAGTACACGGCCAATGTACAGTTCAGTGGTGTAGCTTGAAGGACAAACTAGGGCAGGGGGACAATGGCATTTGTATGATCAAATTCTGATTAGATTGTGGTTATGATCAGGAGATGGCTAGTGAACTGAAAGTTCCCCAAAATTCAATAATTGGAAAGGTTGTGAGATAGGACAGGGGTTAAACCAAGCATGGATAGTAGGACCCAGATATCATAAATTATTAATTACGATGTTTGTTGTTTTGCTCACAAACAAGGAAATTATAGCTGGAATTTGTATGGGCTGCCTGTGCATAAAGAACTTTGGTTTATGAACTGCATTGCCTAGCCTTATGCCTCTATAAAATATGTAATTATTAAATCCAGTTTAATGAGGCCAAAATATATTTTTTGTTTGCTTGTTTTTGATTTGTTTTGCTTTTTGTTTTTGAGACAAGGTCTCTCTGTAGACTAGGTTGGAAATCTGAAATCCTCCTGTCTGCCTCCCGAGTGATAAGTCTAATTTAGGATTGCCATATCTTTAAAGGCACAATTTAAAGTAAATTTTAGACAGTTGGCCAAATGACTTGTATTTAAGAATTTCTTAAAGGCTGTTAAACTTTTGAAATCAGTCTTTTATTGAACCTTATTTTTCCTTTAAAGCCTAAATTATATAGATCTGTGATTGAAGATGTTATTAATGATGTACGAGACATCTTTCTGGATGATGGAGTGGATGAACAAGTCCTGATGGAACTAAAAACTGTGAGTTTGACTCTTTTTAAACAATATCACCCTCAAGAAAGCCCATTTCATTTGTCACCAAGAGGTAGCTTTTCCATAGTCTGAATGTTCGACGTTAAGGAGAGACGAAGAGACGTATTAGTCTAGTGAAGGGTGTTCGTTTTAAACCCCAGTTGTACCATCTCATCTCCCTCTGACTGCGGGCAGAGGACTTGTATTTCAACTTCTTTTCCTCAAAAACAGGAATTGGTAGCACAGACTTAACAGCTAGTTGTTCTCAGGATTAAATTCAGTAAATGTAGAGATACCCACCAGAATGCCCCAAAATAGCTTTTCTTCTTCACATGTAGTGTTTTATGATTCAATTACTTAACATCTCAGTAACAGCTTTAATGTTTTTGTAGTCTTACTATATTTCTGTTCTAAAAGTTGTTTGCTACAGGGATTGAACAAATCCTTACTATGATAAAAGAATTTAGGCACTAGAGTTAACTCCTTTATGTGTGCTCAGTGTTCCAGTTATTATATATTAAACATTGAGAGCTAGTTTTTATCTTAAATTTATGCAAATATACTTAGATTTTTAAAATGACGTTTATGTGGGAACTGAGAGATGGCCCAGTGATTGAGAGCTCTGACCGCTCTTCCCAGAGGAACTGGATTCAACTCCTGGTACCCACATGGTGACTCACAATAGTCTGTAACTACAGTCCCAGGAGGTGCTCACTTCTGACATTCGCAGGCATCAGCACACAATGTCTATTCATGCAGGCAAGACACATACATACGTAATAAAAATAAATTTTAAAACGATAGCATTTTTGTTTACATGGAACTCTGTAGTATTTTTATACTGGCTGGACTAAGTACCCAAGTTTGGAAATTTCATAGTTTATCATTCTTTAATTTTGAAGTTATATCTAGTGTGTTTGGGGAAATGACACATTAAGAGTGCTTGCTCTGAAATTAAGAGAACCTGAATTCAGATCTCCATCACCACATGCCTGTCACTCTAGTGCTTAGGGGATAGAGACGTCTGGATACCAGGAGCTCACTGAAGCTTGGAGCTCCAGGTTTTAATGAGACACCTGTCTCCAGGCAAAGGTGGAAAGTCATAGAGGAAAACTTAACATCCTTCTGTAGGCTCCACATGCATACCTACACAAGTTGTCCAGTGAGAAGCCGGCAGCTCAGCTCGCACTTGTGTGCACAGTACTTACTGACCCTTTCCTTTAGAGCCGCAGGCTTGCTTTAGGTGTATTTATTTTGTTGATGACTATTTTAAAGAGGACGTATACTCACTGTTTAGGGAAATGTGTTAACTTTCGAAAGATATGCATAATTTATTTTCGATGAATGTTGGAAGATCCATTCAAAATACAATATATATTAATAGATTTTACTCTAAATATGAAAAATTCATTGGTATAGGTTGAGATATATTGCTGAACTATTAAGAAATATTTTAAAATATCTTTTGATTTCTCAACTATGTAACTGTCAGGGAAAATTTTCTTTCTATTCTTGAACCAAAACAAGAGCAAAATGCAGAGGCAGATGGGGCATCTGGCTTCTTTTAAGTCCTTTCCACTACCTTTTTTGTTGTTGTTAATTCTGGAAAAATTGCTGTCATTTATATAAACATAGACCTAAATTTTTTTTTGAAGTTCTCAGTAATTTTGAAAAGAGATAGGTGGAGCAGAAACTGATTGCATAAAATTGTCTCCATGTTCCGTGCATGGTATATGCACCCTCATCATCCATTCACAATATAATAAAGAGATAAGGAACTTGAGATCACAAGATATTAGAACTATTGATTTAGAAATTGGAAGCAGTTCCTTTAGAGGTGTGTTGAAATTATCACAGCTAATAAATGTCTAGGGATATTAGCTGTGGTCTTCTCCATTCAGATGTGGAAGCTAGAATTTAGCACTCATTTAAAGTAAATCTGAGTTTTATTGTGGAGATGAAATATGTCTTAATATGTTTAGAATATTTAGAATGTTTAGAATATTCAGTAAGAATTTGTTGATGTGAGAAAGGAACAAATGTAAGTTTTAGTGAGGTGAGTAATATCTAGTGGGAGAGAAATGGAAATGTATTGATGCTTAAGGATGCTAGTGTTAGAGAACCTCCTCTGAAACAGGAGTTGGAACAGCGTAAAGCATCCACGTTACACGGAGAGTAAATGGAGAAGCTTAGCACGGTCCATAGTTTACTGGACTAAGTGCTTTGCTGTCCTCAGTGGTTGTTCTTACACTCTGTAACTTTATACAGACTTTGTGTAGAAGACATTTCTGTAGGCGTGGAAATGAGGTTTAAAGACTTTGATTTACGGTAGAGGTCAATTCAGGATCTTTATTAATTGCTCCTTTTGTAAGTTTACAGTCTTGACACTTCAATCTTCTGACTGGTCCCCATAACTATAAGACATTCTATTCAGAGAAACTGAGTTGTCTCGGAAAAATCAAGTATCCGCATTTACATGCTTCTTACATTTGAAAGAGACTCAATTTTTGATCTTCAGTTTCTACCATAATACCTGCCATGTGTGGCTGGCATTCAGTTAAATATTTAGTGAAGTGGTTAATAGCAGCTGTGGCTCCAGAATCTTTTTTTTTTTAATTTTTTTATGGTTTATTTATCTTTATTTTATGTGCATTGGTGTGAAGGTATCAGATCCCCTGGAACTGGATTTTCAGACAGTTGTGAGCTGCCATGTGGGTGCTGGGAATTGAACCCAGGTCCATGTAAAAGCAGTCAGTGCTCTTAACCGCTGAGCCATTTCTCCAGCCCTGGCTCCAGAATCTTAACAACGCTATTTTTATTAAGTGGGGCATACTCTTATATCTTGGGTTGTAATAAGAGTTAAAGCTGTTAGATCAGAATGAACTTAATTCTCTGTACTAAATTTCTTTAGGACCTCTTTAGAATTTTCAGATGTGCCCTAGTTTTCGCAATGTGTCCAGGGGACAGCTGTCTACAGTGATGGGAAGAAATGCTCTGTGTCTGTCTGTTGTCTACTGTGCGGTAGTCATTAGCCACATCTGACTGTTAGGCATTTGGAATGTGATTAGAGCAACCGAGGAATACATTTTTGTTAATTTTACTTAAATTTAAATCACTACATGTGGCTAGTGATTACCACAGTGAGCCGCACAGATTTTCTCATTAACAAGGTTAACAGTCATTGTATATTTTATGATTTATAATGGACTTTAATTTAACACTAGCCCTTCTCCCTTTCTAACTGTTTAACAGAGATTATCAAAAGGTTGCTAAGGCTATCAGATACAGTGGGAAATTAGATTATGACCTGAGATACATGGTGAGGATGCCTGTAATGTAAAGGTTAACTGGATACTGCAGGTAATGTCATGATTTAAAAAAAAAATTCAGCCCAGTTCTTGGGATGATTTCTTAAGTGTTAGGAGCTCACTTAGATGTGGGAACTAGGGAAGACATAAGATATTGTCGATAAACTTGTATTTAATGGGATTGTGGATCCCCTTAAACTGGGTGGTAAGAACACTAGAAATTCTCAAAGTGAGTAATAAGCGACTAAGAGGGGGAAGGTAGGAGAGTCTGCACAAATGTGAGGCCAACCTAGTCTGTTCAGTGGCAGGCCCCAGTCAGGGCTACATAGTGAGACTGTCTCAAAACAAACAAACAGAAATCTAAAGTAAATGATTAAAAACAATTTGTCAGACCTGCCCATATCTAAATAGTAAGTACAACTTGAAATATATACATTTTTGCTATCATTGCTGGAGATTAAATGCAGCACCTTGTGCATGTCAGGCTAGTGCTCTGCCACTAAGCCTCTGTGCTGATAAAATAGATTCCTCAGTTAGCGATGAGTCTGAAAATTCAGGTTCCAGGTGTCTCTTAGGGCCTCAGCTTTGGTGCTTCTGACATGTTGACATGATTGGTTAGTTGTTGCATGTAGGATCGTAGCAGATCCTTCTGCTCACTACATAGCACTTTGTAGTTATGTTCAGAAATGTCTTTATTGCTAGTCTCCCTAAGGAATTAGTAGCAAAATCACCCCAAACTGAGAACCACTTTCCTAAACATACGCTAATTGTACATAGATACTTGATACACTGATATAAATATCTAGAGTATACATTGAATAATTACCTACTTCCTGTCCTTTGACAATAGTAGGTAGTAGAAATGTGGACCTAGGTGTGCCTTGAGCTGAAAGCCCTCCTTTCACATTTCCACCATCTGTTAGCTAAGTGCCCTTGTCACGGGATGGTTAGAGTTCACTTTGAATCCCACTGTGAACTGCCCATTCTCCAGCAGCGTGCTGGGCTAGACATTTTAAACCACTCTTCTGTTTCCACAAAATATCTGGCTACTGGATAAAGTGTACAACTAATCATTTCAGAGCTTCCAAAAGCTGTTAGGGAACCCACTTTCCTAAACGAAATAGACAGTAGATGCAGTAACAGTGTGGTTAGATGAGAAGTGTGGATTAGAGCTAGCATTAGGGTGAGGCAAGTGAAGTGCCCAGGATACAATATTCAGAGACACTGAAATAGACTTCTGGATTTTAATTATCCTATTTTTGTCTTCTATTATTTGTTGATCTTGAATAACTTGCCTAACTTCTTCAGGTTCTTTTTCTCTAAAGGAGGTGATAATGTCTACATATGTACTTATATAGAACCAAATAAAGTTTAGTTATTAAACTGTCTCAGTAACACAAACACACAGTTTTACACCTCAGTCTTTTTGGGAACAGAAGTTAATGTTTTTCATTTCAATTTTAGATGCCTAGGCAAAAGCTGCTGAAGTATGGGTTTACCAGAATCAATAGTTACATGTGGGAAAGGGAGCGAATAATAATAAAGTGAAAGGCTCTTCCGTTTTCTAAGCAGAAGAAATGTTTACAATTTGGTATTCCTATTTTCAGCTTTACTAATACAGTTACTATTGCCAAAACAATGTTTTAACCACTGACAGTTAGAACCTGGAACTTCTTGATACAGTTAAAATTGTGTTGAAGTAAAATTAGAAGACTGGAGAGATGGCTCAGCAGTTAAGAGCACTTGCTGCCCTTATAGAGGACCTGGGTTCAGTTCTCAGTGGCTCACAGCCATCCATAACTCCCATTTTCCAGGGAATCCAGTGCCTTCTGTGGGTATCACACATGCATGCATGCAGGCAAAACAATTGTATGCATAAATCTTTTTTAAAAAATGAAGATAAGCATTGAATAAATTAAATTTTACTTGATGATATAAGCTTGGTGCTTAGTTGTAGGGTATTATTTTTATATTTGTTTAGTTATTCCTATTATGATTAAGTCCTGATTTTTTTTTTTTTTTTTGAGACAGGGTTTCTGTGTAACAGTGTGTAACAGTCCTGACTGTCCTGGAACTTGCTTTGTAGACCAGGCTGGCCTCGAACTCACTGAAATCTGCCTGTCTCTGCCTTGCAAGTGCTGGAACTAAAGGCGTGTATACCACTACCACCTGGCTAAGTCCTGATTTTTGATTGATTAGCTCAGCTCCTGCAGAGCTTTTGGCAATATATGGGACCTTGTTCATATGTCAAGACTAGCCAACACCTTTGACATTTAGTAGGCAAGAACTAGGAATGTTGCATTTCCCATGGGACCATGCTGAATGATACAGACATACTCTGTCTAAAATGCAGTAGCATGCTATATAGAAAACAGTTTATTTTTCCAATTTTGTTTGAATTTCATACTAAATGACTGGTAAATTCTTAGTTATCTGTTAGGTCCTTAGTAGAATAGTTTCTTCATGAAGGAGTTCATTCAAGAGTAAAATTGTTTCTAATATACACAGGAAGTAACTACCATACCCTCTCCCCCTTGTGGAGCCCTGGTTGGCCTTGAACTCACAGGTCCACCTGTGTCTGTTTCCCAAGTGCTGTGGGTTAAAAACACGTACCACCATGGGTAGCATAAGTGACTGCTTTTCTTTCAGGCTTTGGTACTTTGATGTTTCATTTTAGAAGACTGCAGATTAAAAGCAGTCTAGGGTTATTTCATTGGAAGTAGTTTAGTCTATAAAACTATAGTTCAAGTTGAGTATCAGCTAGTCTAGGGCAGACAGGCTGTACTGCCTAAGCTTCTGCTCTAGAGTCCGACTAAATGGCGTGGGTAGCAGCACGAGACCAAGCCGCTGTTCCTCAAAATAAGTGTACTAGTTTCCCCTTATCTATAGTCTTCTTTCTTAAAAATATATTTTACATGTGTGGGTATTTTACTTGCATGTATGTCTGCACCATGTGCTTGGTGCCTGTGAGGCAGGAAAGAGGGCATTGGATCCCTGAGAACTGGGTTTACAGACTATTGTGAGTTGCCATGGTGGGTGCTGTTAGTTGAACCTGGGTCCTCTGAACGAGCAGAAGTTCTTTTAACTAACTACTAATCCTTCTCTCCAACTCCTGTTGTTATTTTTTGAGGTTTTGGTTACCCTTGGTCAGCTTTATTAGAAAAATATTAAATGAAATATTCCAGAATGAGCAATTTGTGGGTTTTAAGTTGTGTGCATTCTGACTAGAGTGGTGAAATCTCCCCAGCCAGCTGCATAGCTGAGGTTGTGAGTCATTCCTCTGTCCAGCTTATTCATTCTGCATATGCAGCTCATCCATTAATCACTTCGTGTCCACCCAGTTGTCAGACTCCCTGCTGCAATGCCGTAGTGTTTATGTTCAGGTAACCTTACGTAGAGCTGTTCCATCAAAGTATCTGTATGCTTCACTATCTTAACATGTAGGCACTGTATTTCACTGGCCGAAACAGCTTTATTCGTTAACCAATAAAAGCAAAACATAGACAGAAGGACTTCCCACACCAACCCACAAGAAGACTGCAGTTTATTTGGTAAGGTGCTTGAGAAAGAGATCAGTCACATAGGATTTATCACAGGAGATCCTTATAGTTATATTTCACTAATTTTATTTGCACTGTATATAATTTGCAAATCAAGCTTTATCATGGGTTTGTATGTATGTAGGGAAAAGTATCATATTTGAGTCGAGTATAGTTTTAGACTTCCAGTTGGAACATGAACTATTTTCTCAACTATAAGGGTGAATATATTATAGGCTACATATACTACATTATATACAATATTGCATATTGTATAACCTACAGATTATGATTTACTGTGGTTAAATTATGCAGAAGATGTGTTTGTAATCTTCAGAGAACTAATCCTGTTAACATGGCAGAAAATATAACAAAATACAGAAGCTATTTTTTATGCTGCATTTCCCTTTCATTTTGGTTTTCATACAAAATTCACCATTGACTTTTTAATGATCCACTAATGGGTTTCAGTCCTCAATTTGAAAAGCATTGGTTTCGATTTCAACTACTTTCACTGGGAAACATTACAGAATAACGTGGTCAGTTCTTGCGGCTCACGTCTAAACCTGCTGATAGTGGAGGTCTGGGATCACTCCTCAGAATTACTTACTGTTCTGCAGCTGCTGTCTCTTCCCCTCCGCCCTACTTTCTTCTTTTTTCTTTATTTTCTTGTTCTGAATTTGTGGTTCTCATTTCATGCTAACTGGGCAAGCACTCTTAACCACTGAAGTACACTTTCAACCTCAGTTATGATTTTTGATTGATAGGCTCTTGATATGGGAAAGTAGGGGAGTTGAACATACACTCAGCTGTTTTGTGATATTTGACTCTTTTGGCTTTTGGGGGGCTACCACCCAGTTCCCAAATAAAAATAAATCATACATGGATTCTTGTCCTGAGGAATGCCTGGTCTTATCTTACATTGGCTTTTTCTTGCCAGTTCTTCTTTTCTTTCTTTCTTTTTTTAAGTTACAATTATCTGGCCAATGTCTTAGTGTCTTAGGCTTCTTGCTGGCTAGTTCTAACTATAAATTAACCCATGTCTTTTAGTTTACATTTTACCATGAGACTCATGACTTGTTACCTCATATCTTGCTTTTCCGGCTTGTCAGCTTTTCTTAACCCATCTACCAAAAATTTCGGGGTTTTTATCTTTCTCTGTTTCTGTATGTCTTTCTTTACTTCTTTTTCTGTGGCTTGCTGTGTAGCTGGGTGGCTGACGCCTGATGTTCTCCTCTCTGTTTCCTTGTTCCTCTCTTCCTGATTCTCCTTCTGTTTATTCTCTCTGCCTGCCAGCCCCGCCTATCCTTGCTCCTGCCTTGCTATCCTGTTCAAGTCTTTATTAGACAATTAAGTGTTAGACAGGCAAAGAATCACAGCTTCACAGAGTTACAAGCAGCATAAACAAAAGTCACACTCCTTAAAATAATATTCCCCAACAGAAAAATAGTATTCCCCAAAACTCAATTGCATATTACATGTAGAAATATTTCTGTTTATCAGAGGCTTCATTGGAATGATGTGTTCTCATTCCAGTGGGTAGACCACTTGATAGTAATAAAAATGAAACATGAATTTAGAAAGGTGTGAGGGGGGACTAGACTCTGAGTTCTGTTCCTAGACCCCACTTCAGGGGCCTCCAAACCCCTTGTAACTCCAGTTCCAGGGGATGTAGCCCTCTTTTGGTTAGGGAGAGCAGCTGTAAGCATGTGGCATATATTCACACAATATAATTCACATACAAATAATAAGATAAATCTTTTTTTTTAAAGTATGATAGGTTGGGGTTTTGGACTGGTCAGTGTTAGAACATGTTCTTTAAGAACTAGGTTGGTCTCCCCTTCTGAGGAGTGGATGGGAGGTAGGATAGGGAGAGGTAGTAGGGTGGAAGAATGGGGGGAGAGAGAACTGGGGCTGGTATGTAAAATGAAAAAAATTAAATTAAAAATAAACAAAAAGAACTAGGTTGGATCCTCGTCCTCATCTCAATTAGAAAATTGTGGTGCAAAGAACCTTTTTTTCCCCCTCGAGATAAGATCTCACTATGTAACTGTAGCTGTCCTGGAACTTATTATGTAGACCAGGCTGGCCTCGAAGGCATGTGCCTCTACACCTGGCTTAAAAACCTTAAAAACCATTTTCTTAAACATCAATTGCTCTTTTACTTCACATTTTGATTTTTTTAGAAAAAAAATTATGCATGCACATATATGTATTGGATATGAACCACCATGTACATGTGGAAGTCATAACTTGTGGGAGTTGATTTTCTCGTCTACTGTGTGGGCCTCAGGAATCAAACCCATTATCATTTTAGTGACAGGTGCCTTAACCCCCGAACCATCTCAACAACCCCTTCACCTTGATTTTGACTCATATGAAACTAGGTTTTGAGTTTGAAAAAGAGGAAAACAGGAGGTTCAGGTGACTAGTATATTTGAGAAACTTATATAGTACACTCATGTCTTACTTGTCATGCAGGTACCTGTTTTGACCTGCTTTTATCCCACTTTGCGGAGATCAGCCAGACACAATTTGGACCCTTAGGAAGTAGTACTTCATTGCTACAGGAAGAAACCACTTGTTTTTAGTGTGGGGTTTGTAGAAGCCTCTATTACTGGCTAGAAGTTTAGGAGTAATGTAAATCAATTTTCCTTTAATTTTAGGTGAGGAAAGTGTCTAAGAATGTTACATGATTGAGTCATAGTAGTAGACAAACCAGGATTAACTGGTTCTCCACCTTGTGATGTAATGCTGTTACATATTTAAAACCACTGCTACAGTAGTGATAACAGCAGTATTCAGTGGTCACTGGCCCTAACTCTGATATCTATGAATAGAATTTAGTATCTTTTTAAGTATTTAAGTATTGGGCTTCCTAGAGAAATAGTTTTACTGTAAATCTGACTTTACTTCATTCTTTCAGTACACTATTGGAAGGATGCTGGAATTGTCACTAGCATGTAGTCATCTGAGAGGATCTTGGAGAAGCCTGTGAATTAGCAGTATCCCAAGAGCAGTTCCTGGCGTTAAAAGCAGTATGTGTAGACGTGCAAGTGTGAAAATGACCAAATTGTTTCATTTGCATTTTAGAGGCTCATTTGGGAGTAAGGCTCTAAATTAAACATTAAGCATAACAGAAAGCAAATATGTTAGTGAAATAGTTGGAAATGTTTTCATTTCTTCTTTCTTGGGCGGCTTTCCTTCCTCCTCCCATTATAGAATTTACCCTGCAGTGAAATGAGGAGATACAGATTGGGTATCCCTAATCTGAAAGGTGTCACCTGCCCAGCAATATTTTCTTTTCACTTTTTTCAGATTTTTAAATACTTGCATATAATATGCAGTAAAGTTCACTTACGTTTTATATATATACCTTGTATACATTGCTAGAAACTAATTTTACACACTATTTTAAATTTTATGCTTAGAGTAAAATTTTATCAGGTGGAATTTTCGACTGGTGGTGTCATGTCAGAAGTACAGATTGTGGAATATTGCAGAATTTGAAATTTTAGGTTATGTATGTTTTGTCTATAGAAATGACTAAGTAGGAAGTGATTGTCAATCTTTGGCATATTGCTAGAAAGGAAATTTCAAGAGGTGTAGAGGATTGCAATGGCCATTGAGGCCTCAATTTCTTTTCCTTATAAGATTAGACAATGGAAGTTGTCTATCTTAATTTAGAATGCCTCTACTTCTCATTCTACTGAAGGAGAGATGACTGTTGACTGCTATCTAAGGGATAGAAAATTTGGGATGTTTGTTTGTTTGTTTTTTGGTTTGTTTTTTTGAGACAGGGTTTCCCTGTGTAGTCCTGCAGTCCTGGAACTCAGCTCTGTAGACCAGGCTGGCCTGGAACTCAGAGAGATCTCTCTGTCTCTGCCTCCTGAGTGCTGGGATTAGAGGTGTGCGCCACCACCACCTGATGAGATAGAAAATACATATTGAGCAAAGTTCTATAAAAGTAATTTAATAAAGGTTTTGAAATGAAAAGAGAAGCTGTGATTTTTAAGGTATTGGTTCTTGGTTAAGCAACTCCTGCCAATTAAGGCATTACTATAGAACGTTTCTTGGAATGTAAAAAATAAATTCATTATTAAAGATGAAGTTTGATAACGGTTTATTTTCCTTATATAAAACTTGTATAAGAATTGCATGCTATTTTTTACGATTGTATCATTTCTTAAAATGGAATAAAGTTATAAACATCTAATAAATGTTTTTCCCATATGTCAAGAGTTCTTTGACTCACTGAGAAGCCTTTACTGTTCTTTGTCTTAGTTGTGGGAGAATAAATTAATGCAGTCTAGGGCAGTAGATGGATTTCATTCAGAAGAGCAGCAGCTTTTGTTGCAAGTTCAGCAGCAACATCAACCCCAACAGCAGCAGCATCACCACCACCACCACCACCAGCAAGCGCAACCTCAGCAAACGGTACCTCAGCAAGCACAGACCCAACAGGTCCTTATTCCTGCATCACAGCAAGGTGAGAAGAGCTAGATTGGTCTCTGTCATGGCTTACAAGCTACACTTGTCTTTGGAAAGTATTCTTCTGACTCTTGGGTTTCTTGTATCATGCTTTTAAATAAATACTTGGTTGGGGGGAAATTCTACACTGATTGTTCTTTTCCGTCCTCTCTATTGACTGAGTTTGTGCTTGAAAGTATTTGTTTAAGGGAAAAAAAAAGGATTCTGATCTATAGAGGCTTATTTCTGAAGGGTTTCATTATGTTCTATAAGATACACACACACACACACACACAGTTTCTTTATGAAACATGTTCTTTCACAGATAGGTTCGTTTTATTTTATCCATGTATATTAGAGAAATTTCGTAACTTTGATAGTCTGGAAGTTTAGTCTAATTTAAGTAGAAAATTTAGCCTAATTTTAATGCTTGGTTTAAAGAAAAAACTCATTTATAGACTTCATAGGTTTTTACAGTATACAAATCATTTTATAGGTTCTGTTTGTTAATCTTTTACTGGGATGTTGTAGAATAGCTATTAGCTATATTTCACAGTGGAAGAAAAATCTGGGTCTTGGAAAGAATCTTGCCAGGTTGTGGTGGCACATGCCTTTAATCCCAGCACTCGGGAGGTAGAGGCAGGCAGATCTCTGAGTTCAAGGCCAGCCTAATCTATAGAATAAGTTCCAGGACAGCCAGGCCTACATTGAGGAACTATCTTGAAAAATCCAGGGAAAAAGAAAGCATTTGATTCATCATATAAAACTTTTTTGTTTTAAATATGACAAAAATCTATCCAGTTACAAAATTTCCTCAATATTGTAGTTAGATGAATCTTGACTGGGAAAGGAAACAGGATACATGAAAGCTTGGCTTAGGATGGTAACTGTTTGGTGACTCATTTGTTTCATCTCGTATGTGAAATACGAAACAAGTAGTGATATGTAGTAGAAAAGTCTATGTGATCTGGTTTATTGTTTATAGCTAAGAGATTTTGATTATCTTTTTTTAATTTAAAATTTACTTAGTTTAGTGTTTGTGGAGGAGTGGTAGACATGTTGAAGTCAGGACAGCTTGCATCTGTCTGTTCTCTCCTACCATGTGAGTTCTAAGGGTGGAGCTCTGTTCTTTAGGCTTGGCAGCAAGCGCCTTTGCCCACTGAGCTACCTCAGCAGCTCTTACCTGTGTTAAGTCTGTACCACATAATCTCATCCTTTTCATCTTTGATGACTGTTCCTCCTATTGCCTTTAGGCATGGCACTAGGATTTTAGGTCATCATAAATTAAAATTGATTTTTTTCACTCAGAGAGTATCAAGATAATGGGATTATCTGTGTATTCTCTGAAATTTGCGGGATCAAACAATTATTTGCATTTTTTAACTGACATTGCCATTGTTTCTGAATTGTGTGTGATGTATGTGTGCACATGCAGATGTAGGTGCCCATGGACATGGTGCATGCATGGAGTCGGAAGACAAGTTGGGGTGTTTGGGACGGCCGAGGTCATCACCCTCTGCTCCGTCTGCTGCATGGAGCAGTGCTGCTGCGCTCGTGCTCTGGGGACTCAGACTCCGGCCCTCATTCTGGGACAGCAAGCACTTACACATTTGATTTGTACTTTTTAAATAGTTAGTTAAAATGCCTCAATTGTGTAGTTCTCGAGTTGGTAAAAAGGATGTTACAGGGTTTTGTTTTTTGGTTTGTTTGTTTTTGGACAGCGTCTCACTGTGTAGACCAAACTGGCCTTGAACTCAGAGATCTGCTTGCCTGATTCCTGAGTGTTAGAATTAAAGGCATACGCTACCATGCCTGCCCTGGTATTATCATTTTAATGTTTTTCGGTATAAAATGAATATACCCCAGCTCTTGATTTCCATAGAAAAATTTAAAAACTTCTGAAAGGAAAAATAGTTTGAGAATATTCTAATGTAGGATTATAAATATGAAAAGAGTGACGTCTCTGTTGTTTTGTAACATTGCTGTGAGTGTGAAGTACCCTTGTGGTTCCTTGTTTGCAAATATCTTTTCTTCCTTTGTATCTTTAGCTACAGCACCACAAGTTATTGTTCCTGATTCTAAGTTGATACAGCATATGAATGCATCAAGTATTACGGTAAGACTTGAACATGGTGCTTACATTGGCTTTAGTTATTTAATTTAAAATTGCAATTATTTGTGTGTATTGTATTTAACAGTTTTAGAGTTATGGAAGATTTGAGCAGAATAGCTTAATCTTAAACATTAAAGTTCATAAAATTATGTAATTTTTTTCTTAAAAAATACCAAAATACTTTGTGGTTGATATGTTATTGTAACTGTAGGGAATCAGTCAAACATATGCTGGCACCCATAGTTCTGTTTCAGAAATCAGTTAAGTTTAAGAGTATATTTTCTAAAATGCTAAGATTTATAAACTTGCTGAAAATTAACTGTTCTGGACAATTCAAGGTAGCTATTTCTTTTTTAATTTATTAGTCATTTGAGAATTTCATATGATATATTTTAATCATATTCACCCTCTACTCCAATTCTTCCCAGATCTATCCCTTCTTTTCTACCTACCCTTAAGCACATAAGAAGCAGGTCAGAGGCTAGTCACATGACTCCTTGTGTACAGTCTTGCTAATTCCTACTTAGACAATATTTACAGTGCTGCACAACACTAGCTATTACAATTTTTATTTTTACTTATTTGTATTTTTTTAAAAAATTCTTTGTGTATGGTTGCTTGCCTGCATGTGTATTTGTGAACCACATGTATGCCTGGTGCTTACCTATAAAGCCCAAATGAGGTTGGCAGATTCCTTGAAGCTGGAGTTACAGATGATAGTAATCTGCCATGGGTGTGTGCTGGGAATAGAACCTAGGTCCTCTGCAAGAGCAATGAGTGCCCTTAACCACTGAGCCTTCTCTCCTGCTTTTGAATTGCACAAAGTCATTTTGATCTCTATGGCATTAGTTTCTCCACAGCATTTATTTATTTCCCTAAGCTTAATCCAGATGTGAGTTTTCTAAAAATTTATAGGTTGAACAGAGTATGTAGCGGTTGATGTCTTAGGGAGTATGTAAGCATAACGGAATGAAACCCTACCTAAATGTAGTTACGGTTAGATGCATAAAAATACTTAAAGTACAAAACGAAGCTAAAAAAGTTGGAAACCTCTTGGGGCAAGCAAGAGAAATGACATCTTTGGAAGAAATAAATGGAGTAATTTTGCCTGGTGCAGTCAAAACTCAAGTCTCATTGGGGCCATCATTTTTGTAATTCCATTTCTCAGGAGATTGAGGCAAGAGAAGCATCATTTTCAGGCCAGCCTGGACTATGCATTGAGACCCTGTCTTAAAAAAAAAAAAAAGAAGACTAAAGGGCTAGAGAGATGACTCAGTGGTTAAGAGCACTTGCTGCTCTTCCAGAGGTCACAGGTTCAATTCTCAGCATCAACATGTTGAAGACCAATCTGTCTGAGTAATGAGTTACGGGCTAGAGAGGATTACATATGACTATTCTCAGAAAAGGGAAAAAACCCACAGGCTGCTAAAATATGAAATTATATTCAGGATGTGCATTAGTACATGTAGGAAAAATATCATCCATATACCTTGGAGTTCACATATACAGGTTAGATGATAGGGTGTGTGTGTGTACACGTACACGTGTGTGTGTGTGTGTACACGTACACGTGTGTGTCCGTGTGTGTACTAAATCTGGGGGAAATAGCTGAAGTTTAAGATAGTTCTGGCTCCAAGCTTTTGGAATAAGAAACACTCAGCTTAATACATATTTTACCTAGACTATTGTGTCATTGTGTTCATTTTTAGATAATGTGGCATCTTAGAATTGCCAGTTACAGAAACAAAGGAATTCTTTAGATTGTTTTGTAGGGAGACATGTTGATTCTGGTAGAAATGTACAAAATGAAGAAACAAGAATGGTTTGACTTTGACCTTTAGTATATTATTACTGAAGCAGGAAATTGGATGTAAAAAAGTGAGAGTGTGGCAGTCATGGAATGGTGTCTAATCTGTGGACAGCATGGCTGCTAGTGCATGCATTTCTAAAAACATACGGTTAGGCCGAAGCTGTGACAACTGAATCAGGTACACGTCCCTGTGAGGTTGCTTAGAGTAAATTCTCTAGGGGAAGCGAACAATCAGACCTGTAATTTCCTGTGGTACTTGAGAAGGTTGTTTCGTGTGCCACACGGAGCTTCAGTGGTGTTTCAGTCCGTTCTCCCATGCACTGTAAAGTCTGCTGCACATGAGCTACGGTCTCATTAGGTTCACGTACAGATGCGATTTCCCCTTGGTTTTTGTTATTCCAGAGTGCTGCTGCTACGGCTGCCACCTTGGCACTCCCTGCAGGCGTGACTCCTGTTCAACAGATATTCACGAATTCAGGTAATTAGAACAAAGGAAGCAGGTTTAAATATTGTTCTGAAATTAACACCAAGTAGCTCTTAGTGTTTTATTGTTGCTGAAGGGAGACAATACTGACAATTGTTTTTAGCTTTTGTTAAAAAAGGGCTTTAAAATAGAGAATTGTAATCTTTGTTGAGGATACAGTTGAAAAAAAATGAGAATTGTAGCCAGTGTGGTAGCACACATACCAGCAGCTGGGAGTTGGAGGGAGGGATCAGAACTTCAGTGTCAGCCTTGAGTGCATAGTGAGTGGGAGCCCAGCTGAAACCCTGATTCAGAAAAAAAAAAAAAATTAAAATGGGAACGATGGATCTTTTGTTCTGTGAATGAGAACTCTGCCGAAGAAGTGGGATTGTTTAGAAATGATTATTTACTGAGGCTTTTTTAAAAAACTAAGCATCTGTTTTGCCAAATAAGCTAAATGAAATGTGTGAATTAATTTGTAATAACCAAGTTAAATTACACAGACTGGAAGAGCCAATTCATAGTGTATTTTTAGACATATTGTCTCTGCATTAATGTCAAATGCATATTTTTCATCTTATCTTTGGAAGACTTACACAGACTACTATATGGACTGATGTGTATCATTTTTATTTTATTTGTTAATTACTTTCTAAATTTGTGAGGAATCAATTAGGATTTTGTCTTGATGCATGCATTTGTTCACTTTTTTTTTTTTTTTTTTGAGACAGGGTTTCTATGTAGCTTTGGTACCTGCCCTGGAACTAGCTCTTGTAGACCAGGCTGGCCTTGATCTCTCAGAGATCCACCTGCCTCTGCCTCCCAAGTGCTGGGATTAAGGGTGTGTGCCACCACCACATTGGCTTGCATTGTTTTTCACTCTTAAGGAGCATATTCTGTATATGTTATTGAGTCAAAATTAGAGCAGTTCTAATTGGCTTAGCAAATTTTCATTGCTTGTTGAAAGTTTGAACCAAAGCCTTGTGCTTTGGTTTAAGATATAAACAAGATGCTATAGCTTTGTGTCTTTAAATTTTAAAAGCAACCATTGAAATGTCTAATACTGTTTACTATATAGACTCCTACCATGTGAGCAAAAGTAATTAAGACTGTTTTTAAGTCTTTTTTATTTCATTTTTTATACTTTATATGTATAGCTATTTTACCTGCTTGTTTGTGCACCACATGTTTGAAGTTCCTTGGAGTGCAGAAAAGGCTGTCAGATTCCCTGGAACTGGTGTTAGAGCTGTGAGCCACCATGTGGTGCTGGGAATGGAGCTCCAGTTCTCTGGAGGAGCACCTAGTGCTTCTAACTGCTGCGTTATCTCGCTAGTATCCTAATAACTCTTAACAGTCTGTTGTTAATGCTTTATTGGTTAAAAACAAACAAATAAAAACAAACCAAAAAAAACTAATGAAGGGGACTGGAGAGATGGCTCAGTCCCTGGGTTCAACTCTCAGCATCTGCATGGCAGCTCACAGCTGTCTGTAATTTCAGTTTTAGGGGATCTGACATCCTCACACAGACATACATGCAGGTAAAACACCAATGCATGTTATAATGAAGATAATAAATATGGGAAAACTTTTGGAGGACATAGAGGGAAGTTGGGAACAACAGTGGTTGTAGTTTATCATGTATAGTTGATAGTCCTTCGTAAGATGGTCAGTCTTCTAACTTGGTGGTTTTGGTTCTTTGGCTTGAGAACAATATAAATTCATTTCTTTGTATATTGCTGCTGAAATAGCAATTTGGACTATATTTTTCTTTTTCCTTTTTTTTCTTTCTTTTTTTTTTTTTTTTTTTTTGCCTTAGGTCAGCTTCTTCAGGTGGTTCGAGCAGCCAATGGTGCCCAGTATATCTTTCAACCTCCTCAGTCAGTTGTTCTACAACAACAAGTTATACCACAGATGCAGCCTGGTGGAGTACAAGCTCCTGTTATCCAGCAGGTAAAGCAATGTTAACCATCCCCGGGGATCCATCTGCTGCTATAGCTGTAGGAATTTATTGTGTGGTTCCCCACTCTTTTCCCCCACAAGTTTACATGTGCACAGTAGTCAAGACAATCTTATTCTGAGCTATTGTTGTTGTTGTTATAATATCACCGTCATCATTATTATTATGCCTCTGACCCCAATTTACATTTTTTATGTTTAAAACTGAATTATTATTAGTTTGGTTCTGTTTTTTTGATCCTGCTTACCAGTTCCTAATAGTGGTTTTGTTTGCCCTAGGTCCTAGCCCCACTTCCTGGAGGGATTTCACCACAGACAGGTGTCATCATCCAGCCACAGCAGATCTTATTTACAGGAAATAAAACTCAGGTCATCCCTACTACAGTGGCAGCACCCACACCAGCACAAGCACAGTTACCTGCCCCTGGCCAGCAGCAGCCACAGGCCCAGCCTGCTCAGCAGCAGGCTCCATTGGTGCTGCAGGTTGATGGAACAGGGGACACATCATCTGAGGAAGATGAAGATGAGGAAGAAGACTATGATGATGATGAAGAGGAAGACAAAGAGAAAGATGGAGCTGAAGATGGGCAGGTGGAAGAAGTAAGTTTCTAGTAGAAAGGAAAGAGACTTGAAGAGAAGCCACTCATCGTTTACTGTTGTTTGTGTTAAACAGACAAATGACCTGCTATGTCTTCAGAGGCAGAGAGAGGAGGATGCTTGGACTCAACTAGATTTCTCTTTATACTGCCCAGGACCCAACCCCAGGGAGAGGTCTTAGCCACTTTGAGTGTGGGTCTCCCTACCTCAGTTAACCACATCATTACAGACCGTCATAGGCATTCTCAGGAGCTAGATCACCTGTCCCTCATAGGTGTGCCTGGAGGTTTGTCTCCTAGCGATTATAGAGCCTGTTAGGTTGATATTAGCAGTAGCCAGCCATGACAGGTGCATTTCTTAAAGGTATGACTATGAAATGGAAATTATATTACTAGGGATACTACAAATCAAATTCTTGCACGAGTTATTTATAATGTGGCTTAAACATAAGATATTGGTAGACCAGATGGATGTAATTGATCTTTTGTGATTAAAAAGGCATGGCCGTATTTGAGGAGAAAAGCTGAATGTGATGGCTCCAGCCAAAGCTGTCTTTTGACCTTTTTTTGTTCTGTTCCATACCAGGTCCTCAGTAATTGGTCTTCATACCTTTTTCTTGATGTCTGTAAACATGGCCCCATTTTCTCCATTCTTCCAGGATAGTTACTATGTCCAAGGTGACTATTTGGCCCACCATAGTTTTCATGATTAATTGCTTTGGCATAAAATGGAGTCTTCCTTCTTTTAAATCTTAATACTAAAGTCTTTTGAATTTACTTATTTATATTTGTTTATTATTATTTTGATGTTTTTGGAGACAGTTTCACACTGTAACCTAGAGTGGAAATCATTATATAGTCCAGATCGACCTTGAACTTGTATTAATCTCCCTGGTTCAGCCTCCCAGGAATTATAGGTATGAGTCATTGTTTGGATCTAAATATTTTTTATGAATAATTTAGTTAAAGATAGCTATTAAATATTTAAGGAATGAAAGAGAATAAAGTATTTTAAAATATTACTATCCTGGCAGCTACCATTTAGGTGAAATTTTTTTCTATTAAGTGTTTTGGTGTTCCCTCCCCAGTTACAGCCTCTTCCTTCTGCTTTCAAAGCATCTGTGCCAGACTTAATCATTAACTTGTCTTTGTATTTCAGTATCTGTTTATATTTCCAAAGGTAATATTGCTTGAGTTTTTCTTGTCCATGAATAGTATAACTCCAATATTTTTAATGTAGTTTTTGTTAATTTTTCTTAAAATGATAATCCTGAGGTTCAACCAGGTTGTTGCATATAATTGTAATTCTTTTTACTGTTGACTGTACCATTATTTGATTATCCTTTTGAGAACTAGAGGAACAGGCTAGTTCTTTACTGCATTTTAGAATAGTGTATGTGTCTTCTGGGAACTCATACATGTATTTCCCTCAATACATGAGTTCTGGGAACTCAATACATGTTCATACATGTATTGAACATGGACTTGTCAACTTAGCTGTACTGAGTTTATTCTGCCAGTTTTGTCTAATTTGTAGATGTCAACATGTTACCACTTCCTAATATTGGCAGACTTGAATTTTTCCAGTCTGGCAGAAAAATGGTGTCTTAATTTAGTTGTAGTTTGAACTTCCTCAAATACTTAGGAGCTTCAGCCTCTTTTCAATATCTACTTGTTATTTGTATTTTTATTATGTGGAAGTGCGTACTTAGCGTTATCCTTCTCCTTTTTCCAGTTTTGGTCCTTCTCTCAGTGACATTTCTATTTCATTTTCTCCTGCATGTCGGTGTTAGAGATGTGCATAGAACTTTTAATAGTCATCATTGAGCTAGGCTGATGCCTTTTGTAAAAATGCCTTTTTTTGATTCTTTTGTTTATATGTAGATGGAGCTTCTTTTAATGGTCTGTTATTATTAAATAATTTGTTGTCTTTTGTAGATGTCTTTTAGGGCTGAAGGAATTAATTTCTTTGTAATTAACCAAGTGCTTTGCTTTTTCTCTTTAAACTATAAGGAAATGTATTTTATTTTATTGTTTACTGCTTTTCTGCAACCAGTTGATAGTCACAATGTCTGATTCAGAATGTCATTTATGAATTTCATTGATTGATCTTAATTGACAAACCAGTCTTGAGTTCCCGATATGACTAGCTGAGGGCCCGTACATTGTACTCTGTGTAACTGCCAGAATCACATTGACAAGTTTTGCATCAATGTGCACAAGTGCTTCTGTAACTTCTTTTCTATCTCATAAGCTTCTCACTGGTTCTCATGTTAATAGTAACCTTTATGAAAGAAATTGGACTTTTTTGTTTTAAAGGTCATGCGAATCTCTTATGTATTTGTTTTTGTCGTTATTAATTTATTGTTGTTTTTGAGACAGGGTCTTATGTAGCCCTGGCCAGCTTGGAACTCTATGTCTCCTAAACGTTAGGATTAAAGTTGTGCACGACTGTCCATGCCTGGCTAAATTTGGGGTTTGGTGGGATTTTTGTTGTTGTCTTTTTTTTTTTTTTAATTTAAGATAGAGTCTCACTATGTAGCTCTGACTGTCCTGGAACTCAGTACATAAACCAGGCCAGTCTATAGCTCACCAAGATCTGCCTGCCTCTGCTTCCCAAGTGCTGGGAGTAAAGGTATGGGCCACCATTTGCAGCCTCTGTGGGTATTATTACAGCTCGTTACTTTGCTCTGCCATTGACCTGTCTATCCCTCAGCTCATGAGAACCCTTACTAAAGTAAGGTCTTGTTCTTAAAGCTTTAAGCAATTCAGTTCTGCCAATGACCTGAATGAAAGGTTGAGATGACATTATCATGTCATTAGGGAAATGCAATTCTAAACCACAGTTAGGGGTGGCCTGCATATGTTCCCATGTAACTCATGCATGCAGTATCTACAGAGGCCAGAGAAGGGGGCATCAGACCCCTGAAACTGAAGTTATAGATGGTTGTGAGCTGCCATGTGGGTGCTGGAATTGAATTCAGGTCTTCTGGAAAAGCAGCCAGTATTCTTAATTGCTAGAGCCATCTCTCCAGCCCAGGATGGTATAATTTTAAAAGTAATTGTGTGTGTGTGTGTGTGTGTGTGTGTGTGTGGTGTGTGTGTTGGTGAGGATTTGCCAAATTTCACTTGCAAGTACATGTAGGGAAGAATTACAATCAGGTGTACATGAGCGCTCATGGCAGTACCCCTTGACTATTCAGACAGAAAAAGCATCTGGGTGTCTGTTAGTATCTTCTGAATGGCAAATAAAACGTGTCATAGCCATACAACAAAATAGCATTTAGCTGTAAAGAAGCATGAAGAACTGAGTACACTGACAACCTGAAAGCACAGTACAAAACCCACAATTTGTATTGTTCTATGTATGTTTCCAGGATAGGCAAGTTCATGAAGTCAGACACAGATGGGTGGTTGCCGGGAGACAGGAGAGACTGTAGAGTGGTAGTTTCTGGGTGTGGTTCATGAAGTGCTCTGCAGCCACGGAGCAGTCATGATTCCATTAGGAATGCCTGTGGCGCAACTGAAAGGGTTAAAGTTTTATCATTTCCCCCCACTTAGCGTAGATATTTTTATTTAAATATCTATACACACCTATGTTTGAGTGGCATACACCTAATACACCTAGGTTTTTATCATTCTTGCTTATTTTCCTTTCTACCTCTGTTTTGCCTTGTCTTTTTCTTCCTTATTTATTAGAAAGCTGAGTTAATGCTTTTGTCTTATACCACAAATGAAGTTCAACCTTATTTTATCCCTTTCTTTTTGGCCCTGAGATATTTCATTCTCTGCATTTAAGAGTAATTTAAATCTTATTTATTATATCTCCAACATAATGTCTTCAGAATGACAAACAGTACTGATTTGGTCTTTCATATAGTCCTAAGACCACCCTACAAACTTACTGTATTCTTCTGCTTCTCTGATGTTACTATTGGCTTGCTTTGTTTTGACCTCACAACACAACCTTCATATTTCCTCAGGTTTATTTCTAGGTACCTAAAAGTTTATTGGTGAGAATTTGTCTTCTGTAATTATAAAGAATTATTATTATTATTATTATTATTATTATTGGATTTTTCGAGACAGGGTTTCTCTATAGGTTTGGAACCTGCCCTGGAACCCTCTCTGTATACCAGGCTGGCCTCGAACTCAAAGAGATCCACCTGGTTCTGCCTTCTAAGTGCTTGGATTCAAGGTGTGTACCACCACCATCTGGCAAGCATAAAGAAAATTTTAAAAATTACTTTATGTGTATGGCTGTTTTGCCTGCATGTATGTCTGGTCACCACATGAGTGCCTGGTACCTAGGGAGTCCAGAAGAGGGCATTTGGTCCCCAGAATTAGATTTAGAAATGGTTGTGAGCTGCCATGTAGGTGCTGGAAATTGAGCCCAGGTCTTATGCATGAGCAGACAGTGCTCTTAACAAATGAACCATCTCTCTAGCCCCGAAAAAAAAATATTTTAATCCCTTTTGATTTTTATGAGTGCTATAGCTTAACTTTTACTGAATTTCTTGCTGAAATAACCTCGACAAACCTGTATTGACAGCACTACATTCAGTGTGTGCAGACACATCTGATAACACTCAAAGAGCGTCAAGGTCATGCTTTTTCTTACTATATGTTATGGGAAACACTATAGCAATCCATGAGATCTATGTGTAAATTCTCCTTTTATTTGCAGGAGCCCCTCAACAGTGAAGATGACGTAAGTGACGAGGAAGGACAGGAACTGTTTGACACAGAAAATGTTGTTGTGTGCCAATATGATAAGGTACGGACTTCATTTTCAGTTATGGACATTTTTGTTGTTTCTCCTCTAAACCATCTTCTCAATCTTACAGAAAGGTTTAGGGAGACGATGACTGTCTATATTTTAATTTTATGTTTTACCTCTGAGATCAAGTATATTAACAATCAAGGATGACCTGGAACAATGTAGGTGGCTAGTCAGGGTGACTTCATAGTCAGTTGTATTCCTGCCTCAACTTGGGATTAGAGGTGCGTGCTACCCTGTGCAGCTGGCTTTCTTCACTTTTATAGACAGTGTAAAAAAGCATTGTGATTGTTTCAGAGATGATCTGAACTCTAAATGAACTCTTTAGTGTTACCTTTAAAAAGTAAGTAGTGAGTAAAATGGTGAGAGATGATCATTTTTCTTTCTTTTTACAAAAAAAAAATTATTTTTGGTTAATGCAGATTGGTGTTTTGCCCGAATGTGAGGGTGTCTGGTTCCCTGGAACTGGAGTTAAGACAGTTGTGAGCCACCATGTGGGTGCAGGGAATGGAACCTGGGTCCTCTGGAAGCGAAACCAGTGTCTTCACCGCCGAGCCCCTCTCCAGCCCCAAGATGATTGTTTTTATTTTCATTCTACATCAGCTGTAAACAGCCACTTGTCTTTCAATGACACAAACTCAAAAGAAAATTTTACCTTCACACACTTCAGCACCCTTGAGTCTGGAAAGACCTAATTGATATTTTATTACTAAGAAGAGCAGAAAAATAAGAAGTACCAAAGCCCAACAAACAGATGAGCTTTAAGAGATTGCTTAAATATCATGTTTTCTAAATGATCTTAGGCAACTACTGTGAAAGGATCATTTGATTCCCAAAGGGGTTGCAACCCACAGATTGAGAACCATCGTATTAGATTTTTTGTTGAGGTTTGTTAAGTAAGTCATTAAGCAATATGCTCTTTTGTCTATCATGAAGTTTATAACACTTTCACATATTACATTAGTTTTTCTTTGTAACTGTGTGTGTGTGTTTTTTTTTTTTTAAAGAAATGTTTATTGAGTAGCAGGGAGTAAGTACTTAGGGACTAGGATTGTGGTAATGAATGAACATGGATTATTTGTATCTTTTAGATGAAAGAAATCTTAAATTTTTATAATGAATATAAGTAGTGCTTACATGAAACAGATCTATAGAAAGAATGCCAGTGTAATGGATCTTACTTAGTAAAAGGCCAGTTGCATGCCAGTTACATACATAAAGTCAGACACATTATTGATATTCTGATAGTATATACTTTTATGCATTGTACAACCTTGATTACAAACAGTACTGCAAATGGAATTTTTTTTTTATCTGTAGAAAAAGGTATATGAGGTTAGAACAGCAGGAAGTCCTAAGGGACCTGCTTGTAGCCAAATACCCAGTACATAATTTCATGATAGCAAATTACCAGATGAGAACTTGCCTACAGAATATCTCTCGAAGTATTTTCCTATTGTAAGAGAGTATTCTCCTTGATAAGCTATATAGTGTTTTAAATGTTATTAAAGTTGGTTTTTCTTGCTCACAGATATGCTCATGTTTTAAACTAATAGAGACTTGGGTTGGTTATGTAGCTTAGTGAAACAATTTCATAGTTTTCAGAGCTGTATTTCAAGAATCAGAAAGATGAAAAGTATAGTCAGAGCTCTGACAGACTGTAAAGGTGAGTTAGTCTGTGGTTAGTTAAAATGAGGATAAATGTAATCTGGGACAACCTGAGCTTTAGGAATTTTGTTTTGAAGCCTAAGCTTTGTATTTCAGTAGTGAGTCTATTCTAAGACAAGCACAGAAGGAGTAATGCAGTCTGTATTGCCAGACAAGCATGTCTTAGTTGAAATGCTAGCAGGATGACAGGTTTAGGTAATTGAAGGACCGTTGGGACATGGAGAAAACAGTATCTAGTGTGACATTTCAACCTGTTTATAGCTCATTTCACTTAAATAAATTTTCACTGGACATTAAAAAGGCCTTTCTGTTGACTTTTAGTGTGTTCATGAAGGACTTAAGGCCAGGAAAGGAATACTTTTAAAAGTTTTACATTATACTTTTGTGTAAATAGAAATACCATTTATTATTCAACATAACTCACCTTTGAATTTCTGAACTTATTTCTGAATGTGAGAGTCTCTTCCTTCTAACATTATTGCTATCTGTTTTATTTTAACAAAAGTTTGAATCTAGAGCAGAAACATTGAAAGTGAAATGCATAAAACATGATTTTTATATCAAAAGGCAGCGCTAGGATCAGTAAGTGAAAGGTAGAAGAAACAGATTTGAGAACAGGGTAAAGTCCAGATAAACTTCTACTTATAGTCAGGTAGACATTGAACAGCAATTTATCCTAAATATGCCAGAGGGTGTCTGTGCTAAGAGTATAGGTCATAGGATTTTAGAATTGAGAGCTCAGAAATATCTTATCTACTGATCATTTCTGCGTTATGCTGAAAGGTCCATGCTAGGTTTTGAGAACACTAAGCTTATTTTACCAAAGGAAAGAAGGCCCCAGTTGTATTGCTTGCAGATAGCTTGTAACTATTTTAGTGAATACAAGTTACTGAGAGCTATTAATGAATTAAAGAAAATTTTAAATCTACAGGTTTTTTACTAAGCATTAAGATATCAATTTCCAAATAGAGTAATTATACGAGACAAACTTGTTGGGTTTGTTGTTGTTGTGTTTACATCAACATCTTACATCTTTTGCATTCTCAATTTTTGTTTAGATACACAGAAGTAAAAATAAATGGAAATTTCATCTCAAGGATGGCATTATGAATCTTAATGGAAGAGATTATATATTTTCCAAAGCAATTGGAGATGCAGAGTGGTGAAGAGTTGCTTCTTTCCTTTTATAAGTAAGACAAAAGAAACTTTAAAAGTTAAAATGGACGGTTTGAAACTTGGGACATATATCAACCAAACTTCACTTCTGCATGTCAGAACAGCGCAGTAGACGCCAAGCTACTGGAACACAGCTAGACCTTGACAACATAGACACTACTAACCGGCAAGCCATGGAGCTGTAGCACCTGGGGTTGTTGGGCGGGGGGAGGGGTTGTGTAGGAAACTGTAACTGTCGATTTTAAATACAGGAACCTGCCATTGGTAATTAGCATGTAAAGCTTTGTTTATATTACTTTCTCCAAGTTTGGCTCAGTCAGAAGATACTTGTTGGAATGATCTGAAGAAATTTCCCTTTTGATAGATTGAACTGAAACTGCTTATTGTATGTGGTTATATTTGGTACAAATTGCGTGTGAACTTTTTACAGAAGGGCAAGAATTATGGTGTTGAATTTTAATTCACTGTGTAAGAAGATTTAAAACTCATAATAGGTCTTAAACATTTTTACTTGTTACTCTCCCTCAGTAATACATACCTCTTGCTTCCCTGCTGTCTGAAACATCTACTTTAGATTTAAAGAAAGGATCAGTGGTCATGGTTTGGAAACAAAGTCGACCCAGGAATGGAGGCTTGTTTTAATTAGGTTTTCATACTTGTTAAATGTAACTTAAAGACTTGGGTCTTACCTGTGTTGAGTAGAATTAAAGTGACAGCTTGATTTCCATATAGAAAAACTGTACTCAGTCACATACTTTAAGAGACCCCAAATTGGCTCCTCAGGAATATGTTTATTCACAAAGGTACCACCGAGCTGAAATTGTACAGTACACCCGATATGTGAAGGTTTTTCTTGTTGGGCTGCAGCGTGTGCTTAGCTGTTCATTTAGTCTTTATGTAACACTGAGATGGCATTCTGTACATCGATCTAAGAAGCATAAGGGCAGGTGGTGAGGACTGGATTTTTATTAAACAATTTAGTAATTATAAAAGTTTCTTGTGTTTCCTAGTAAAGAATTTTAGAAATTATTTTAATTGAACAAATTTTTTAAAACACTTTGTAATTTGAGGGGAATGCTTGGGGGTGGAGGGGGTAAAGGGAGGTGGGCCACTAAATACAAATTTACCTCTCTTTCATTGGGTAGCCCTTCCAGGCCATTGATGATCTAGACTTGGGCTCCAGTTTGCACATTGGAAAGAAAGTATAGAGATTTGACTTGTATATTAAAAACTCTAGATCTTCGCTGTATGTGATGAGAATGTGTAGCTCTGGTTCGTTCCTGTAAGGGGCTCTCAACGGTGTGGCGCTGCAGTGGGTCAGCTTCCTGGGAACTGCAGGAATGCTCACTCACCTTCTCTCCTAGTGACTAACAACATTTGATTCAAGTTACCTTGCCTGTTGGTTCTTTTGTCTTCCAATTTTGTCTTCCTTTAATTTGACTTTATGTAGTTCCAGAAGTAACAGATGAACTAAATATATTACAAAAGAAAAACTGTGAGTTATATATATATATATAGTGCTTCTTTAAAGCACATATTTTTAAATTTCTTAATGCAATTGATTCCCCTTCCCCACTTAGCACCCCACTGAACCAGTTTATGTTGTGGAATTCGGTATCAGTGGTGGTGTCTTAACATGATAGTAGTTAGATTTTGCTTTATCCCATAACTGGTAATACAGTTTCTTGTTCTGTTATTAATACAGCCTTTTGGGGAAACTTTCTTTCTTCTCTGTTCTCAAAGCACATGCAGTTCTGTTTAATTTTAACACTTGGAGTACAGAGGGAGTAAAATCCCATGAGTTCTGTTCTCAGTTGTCCCTCGGTATAGTTTGTAGAAGATTTGTGTTTATTCAGTGAACAGTGAGGAACTACCTATGGCAGTGAGCAGTGTTGCTTCAGTGAAACTCGGGCTCCCCAGTAGCTGTTCTGCTACTGAAACTCAGCACATGACCCTGGGCTCTCTGTGTAGTCAAACATATTGAAGGTTAGCATTGTACACAGGCTTGTTTTTTCAAACATGAACAACCACTTCTTTCAGAGTGACACATAGGGTTGTTTTGAAGCAGGAAGTAACCATTTGTATCTACACCTATTGTATTGCCTATTAATGGTGGCCTCCTGGATAAATGCTTTTATATGTGAAAAATTCTGAAAGCTGGTTCAAACAACCCTGCACACCAGGTTGTGCTCTTATACGCTGTTATAGTGTGTTCCTTTTAAAATCAAGTAGCGTGTTGTGTTTTTTTAATTACACTAGCTTTTGCTATGTAAATGTCACTTGCTTTGAATTCTTAATCATGTTTTGCCATTACATTTAACAGATGATGTCATTAGGTTCTATTAAAATGTCATTCCTTTGGAAAGGCAAGGGGATCCCACTTGCAGAATTTTAAGTAGCATGTTTATCCAAAAAGTGGATATAGTTGAGACTTGGGAATCCTGAAGTAGGGTGTTTTCAGAAGATGATCTGTTTAGATTTGTATCAGTAGTGATGGCACCTTTTGCATAACATCATACCAGTAGTGCTAAGGTAAATTTACACAGAATGACGGAAGTGGAGATGTGTGCCTTCCGGTGTCTGAACTCTTGCCTGTGTCATTTGTACTCTCAGACCACGGGAATGCCCGAGAGCACGTGCGATGTCTTAGAGTGACAGCTTTGTCACGCGCGGTCTGTGCAGGCAAATGTGATAGGAGGGGATCTTGATGTTGGGCGTTTATGTTTGAAGTGTGCACATTTCTGTTGACTCCGCATCACATTTACACTGTTGCCTTTAAGTCACGCATGGACAGTGATTGAAATGTGTTTGGACAAACCTAACAGAGTCTGGCTTTAGAAAACAGTGTAAAATATACTAGTTTTTATATAGAGGCTTTCTTTCTTGTATTGAAAATCTAGGAGTTTTCTTTTGGTGGCTTGTCTGGACGAATGCAGAGTTGTCTCCCTCTGAGAATATTTTTTTTATTATCTTATAGCAATAATGTCACCATATTAGAGGGTAAGTATTCCTTGTATAAGAAAACAGACATATCTCCTCTTAGCAACCCCCTTATAACAGCGTTTTCTTCCACTTGAGAAAGTTCTTAAATTCTCAGATTACTTCATCTTGAACTGAGCTTTTGTGCAATGTGCTATTTTATTGATCTTTGTACATTTTCATTTTGTGTTTCCTGCCTACCTGTTTGAATCAGCTGTAGCAGATACTGATTTTTTGTTTTAAAAATGGTTGTTTTGTTGTGTTTTCTCATGTGTTTACCGTTAGGCTTGGACTTTGATCTGTTATCCCTATGGAAATGATCCTGGTTTGTAGTCTTCCCCCTGGAAACCTGCCTCTGTCTTTTCTTTGTCATCTTTCCTGCATGCATGATTTAAGGAAGAATGCATCTTTTTTCTTTCTTTCTTTCTTTTCTTTTCTTTTCTTTTTTTCTTTTTTTTTTTTTTTTGCTTATTTTGAGGAACAAAAGCTTCCCTTTTGAGGAGAGAACAAAACAACATTGAATCAACAATTACTCCTTCAGCCAAGCTTCCTTAAATCAGGCTGGTATGCATCGGGGAGGGGAGGGTTAATCCCTAGCTTTTTGGAGCTACTATTGTCGACTGCTGTTGTACATACTGTTATGTGTAAGGGCGTAAATATATTTATTATGTTTGTAAAATTCATTCTGTACACTTGCAGATCAAGGTTGCTCTTCTGTGATATGGGTTGTTAGGTTTTAAAGACCATCTTGGAATACAATTAAAGAGCTTAGTATTTTGATGTACTAAGACCTATTTTAAGTTTAATATTTTACCTTGCAAAAACTTTAATTAAAGATGTTATTTAAAAAAAGTAATGTTGCTTGCTTTGCTTACTAGTCTATGACATTGGCATATGGACAGCTGACTAAAACCATACAGTTTAGACAGGAAAAGTTAAACAAAAATAGGGATATGGTTAAATTCTGTACCCTTAGTTAAATTCTGTACCTTTAAGGTAGTGGTTTTGGGATGCCAGACTGAATTGTTAAACTGTCTTAGATATCTTAAGCGCTTTTAAAAGCTGTGTTTTCCAGGCACAGAGGTATTTAGGATGGGTAAATTCACACCAACTAAATGTAAATTAAGGTTAATATAATTAACATTGTATTGGAAGAGTATTTCTACTCAAAAGCTTAGATTGCTTAGGATGAAGTTACTAAGAACATCATTTCATTTCTTTGTCTGGCTAAACTGTTTTCTCTCAGTTCAGAGTTTGTAAATAATTGCTTATTAGGAGATTTGGATTATTGAGGTTTGTATTACATATTGAATATATTTTGTGTTACTTTAGAAGATATTAAATTACTAGCAGTATTTTGATTTTATAGTTAATTCAAATGAATCATTAAGAGCTTGCCTTTTGTAATTTTTTATCCTGTTATAAACTACTTTATCTAAGGAAACATGCAGATTTTAACTATTAAATAATCATAATAAAGATATTTTATTTATTGCCAGCATTTCTTGTATTTTGCAGTTTAATTCAAGCTCCTACATTATGATCTTAATTCATGTGACCTGAGTTCATATCTGTGAAATAACAGTGGCAAGGTTTTGAGTATGAAGTTATTTGGATAATTTAAAATTAGTATAAAAAAAGTAAATCATCAAAATAAAAAAAAATCATGTGATTGAGAGACCAAATGTTTGTTCACAAAGCAGCCCAGCAGGAGAGTTGGTGGATCTTTGCCGCTACTAGGAGCAGACCAAGGCAGAGGAGGGAAAGGAAAGGCTGGGCATCAGGGTGGGAAGACTTCATGCCCTGAATTACATGTCTGAAATAGATTTGTTTTTCAAAGTTGAAGTTAATAGAGAACTATATTTTTTCCCCCTCGGTGTGTATGATTGTCGTCCCCCCAAATGAGGGTGCAGTGGGAGCAGGGCAGGCAGGCTCAGTACAGATGGGATAGTCCTTTGACTCAGTTTGCAGGAACAAATGCTTTCCATTTTAGCTAGACCTGTTAGAGGCCGTGGGCTGTAGCTGCAGGGTCTTTTCTGCAGTCTTCATTGTCTCCGTGTCCTTCAACAGTCAAGGCAGTGAATAAAAACATCGCCCAGTGGATAGTGTAACTATTTGCTTCGTGTGTCTGTTACCAAGAACCTGAACTGCCATGAGGACTTAGAGAAGACACTGGGTGGCAGCCATAATGACAGAATAAGCAGAACAATACCCACTGCCGGTTAGAAGGTAATGGTAATGAGACTATTGCTGTATCCCTGTAGGAATGGGAAGGGTCAGGATACCCTCCCTTGATTGCAGTCACTACACCCTCTGCCTGAGCTGCACATCATCCTGCCCCTAAGGTGGTGTTAGTGCAGGGGTGAGAGCATATAAGAGCTGGGTGGTTATTTGGGGGTTGAGACGTCAATGATGTAGTCCCGTGCTCTTATAAGGAAGCCCAGTTAATTTGAGTTCACCAAGCTGGACATGGAAATAATTTCTCCTTCTGTCTGCCTGATCTTCTCTTTATGAGGTGAGTAGATTTTTTTCCTTCAATCATCTTGGCAGGAGGGAAGATCTCTAACGAGAGACACTTGTGTCTCTGCTTTTGGCTATCAAGTTGTTGAAACAGTAGTCCCCAAAGGAATTAGAATTTCCCCGAGTCTCTTGCTGGGAAAAGGGAAAGGCTGAATCTGGATGCCAGCCCATGGGAGAGAGGGGAGCTTGTCTCCTGGAGAGAGATGTCCTACCACTTTGGAGGAGACAAAGCCAAAATGACGAGTCTGTTGATGGGTACAGCACAGCTTGCCCCTGACGACTTAGTGCATACCTTCGCTCTCTAACTCAAGTCAGGACCCCAGATGTTGGCCTGGCAGGGTGTCACTGATCGCTTGAGTTGTTACTCTTCCCAGTGTGGCCATGCTGGATACATCTTTCAGTAATCCTGCTCTCTTCACTTGGCGTGGTGAGGACAGGTGGCCCAGTCTTTAACCCTAACAGTTCCTATAAGTCTGTGATCTTAAGTGAAGTCATACAGTCTGGGAGCATGAGGGCAGAGTCACTGCTGATCATTCGTATGAGAGTCAACAAAATGTGCAGCTGAAGTATATGCACCTCACAGCAGTAACGTGAATTAAAGAAAAAGAGGGCTTGTGTGTGTGCGTGGGGGCGGGTAGTGATTTCTGTTTGCCCAAAGGAGATTTATCTACACTCAGCTCATGTTTGAGTTTCCCAATGTAACTAACTAAGTGGTCTTGACTTCTAAAGCAGTGTGTAGCACATTTTTAGGTCATTACTATGATCTCAATCTGAAAGTCTCGTCTCTCTCAAATTCCTATGCTGAAGTCCTAATCCTCAAAGTAGTCATATTTGAGGTTGGGCCTCCAAAAAGTCATGAGATCACTCCACTTAGGAGGATAATAGGTCATCACTGTTGTTACGTGATGCCGCAGAGAGTCAGCTAACCTCTCAGGTGAGATTGCAGCAAAGAATGGTCTCTTGGAAGAGGCTACGTTACCAGGATCTTGAGCATGGGCTTCCCAGCCTCTAGAACAGTTGAATGCTTGTTTGTAAGTTTTGTAGCTCTAACAAACTAAGACAAACACTCCAGTCTTCAAAGTCAAATATGCGAGAGCAGTAGATCCCACTGCCTGGATTACTGCCAGAGAAAGGCGCGAAATCCTGCCTCACTTGGCATGTTTAGCAGCAGAGGTGTGCTGGGGTAAGGGGCGTGCACTGTCCTGGGAACAGGCAAGGAGAGGAGAGACTATTGGAAGCACATATAAACAATTAAAATGCTAGTCAGTGTGTTTCTTAGGAAGTTCCACCAATCCTACATCATGCCTGTGAAAAACTTTCCTCTTCTTAAGAAATAATTATTTGTTCCAGCAGGCTTAGTTGCCACAGTGTAACGGAGCTTTAGGGCAAAAAACAAAAACAAACAAACAAAAAAAACCAGCCTCAACAGGGTAGGTTCAGCCACCTGTCCCAGTACATAAAGACAATTGGGAAGATGGATGCAGGGATCCGGTGATTACTAAACCCTTAATCATGGTATGCCATGAACTTTCTATTTAGATAGAACTTTCAGTTTCAGTGAGGCAAGGGTCAACAGTTGGGCATGATTAGGCAGTCTGGTCAAGGTGTGGTCTGGCTGATTGTCTCGGCACGTATTCTACCAGGTGTTTTGACGCTTAGTGCTGTCTCTGCCAGAGGGGATCAGTCTGGTTCCAGTGAGGTGAACCCCTGCTCCGGGGTCTAGCCTCTTTACCTCAGATACTGTTCTCAGCTTAGAGGTGGTTAGTCAGGATTTCTGTTCCTGGAATCCGAGGTGTCTACAGATTCAGGACAAACCTACTTTTGTGCAGTCAGCTTTGACTGGGAAAGGAAAGGGTTGGTGGACAGTCCTTAGTGATTATCACGGCAACGCAGTGTGGCGGGAATCCGACCCGAGGAACAACAGGCACAGCTGCCAAGCTTTCAGCGTGCCTTTATTTTATTTTTAATCAAAAACATTTTTTTTTTTTTTTTAGATGAGCATTCAGCTGGCCTCAAACTCACTGCGTAGCCAAGGACAACCCTGATCCTCCTGCCTCTACCTCTCAAGTGCTGGGATTACAGATGTGTATTGCCACATCTGGTTTATGTGGTGCTATGGCTCAAACCAAAGCCTGGTGCATGCTGGACAGACATGCTACCAACTGAGTTCTCTTCAGCCTCTCTTGCTTTTTAGTTACCTCCTGGGTTCAAGTGGGATTGGTGCTTTTCAGCAGTGCAGCTTCTAATTCCCTGTTGCAAGAGCACTCAGGGCTTTAATTTTTTTTTAATATATGAGCCCACATAAAACGTAACCATTTTTTATTAATACAACTCAGCGATGTTAAATACATCAATGGCGAATTTTAATCCTACTTATATTGTCTATTATTTTCTCAAGTTTTATAAAAATGATTAAGGCAATATCCAAGACAAGTAGTGTGTGAATCTACTTGAATGAGGCACCTATGATAGTGAAATACTATCTTAGAAATATAACATTGTTATATTTATATTATATTTATATTATATATATTATATATATAATATAAATGTATATCATATATATATTTCTAAGTAATATATATATTACTTAGAAATAGTAACATTGCAGATACCAAGAACTGGGAAGTAAGGAAATGCTTAATGGGTATATAGTTTCAGCTTTGCAAAATGAAAAAAATCCATATGAATATACTTAATAATACTGAATAGCATGTTTAAAATTAAGATGGCAATTTAAACCATTTTAAAGTATTTTAGTTTTTATGTGCATGGGTGGTTTGTCTGCACGAGTGTTTGTGCACCATGTGTGTGCAGTGCTCGTAAAGGCCAGAAGAGGATGCTGAGTGAGTGCCCTGGACCTGGAGTTAGAGGGTTATGAGCTATCGTATGGGTGCTGGGAATCAAACCCAGGTCCTCTGCAAGAGAAGGAAGTGCTCTTAATCACCGAGCCATCTCTCCAAAACCAGTTCATTTATCTCTCTCTCTCTCTCTCTGTGTGTGTGTGTGTGTGTGTGTGTGTGTGTGTGTATACACACCACAGCATTCATTTAGCAGAAGACAATTTTCAGATGTTAGTTCCGTCCTATCATCATGTCCCAGATAGAACCCGGGTCTTTGGAGTTCACAGCCTTTACCCACTGAGCACATCTCTGGTCCTGTTGCCTACGATTCTATCTTCAGTCCTTTTATAGCCAATTATTGCTCACTGCCGTTATTCCCTTCTAAGTGAGGGCTGCATTTAAGATTTTCACTGGCAATATAACCTTTAATGTGCTAAGACCCAAGATGTCTTCTTGATTATCCTCTCAAAGCACGTTGGGGCTGGAAAGATGGCTCAAAAGTTAAGAGCACTCACTACTATTTCAGAGGACCCAGGTTTAGTTCTTCGCTCCTAAGCTGTGCAACTGGTAACTGCCTGTACCTCCAGTTCTGGTGGATCTAACACCCTCTTTTGGCCTCTTCAGGCACCTGCATTCATGTGCATACATACCCAAACACAGAAACAGACACATTCAGGCACACACAATTAAAATTTTAAATGCTTAAAAATTATAATTCAAACCACCACCAAATATCTGTGGCTTCACCTGCCAAATTTAGACGGTAGCTACTTCTTATGCATGCACCGCTGTTGTCCTGGTCCAGCCTGTCATCACTGCTCCCCTCCAACTATTGATGATCTGTTTTTCTCCTCTTGTCTCTCACCACAATCTGTTCCAGGGTTGACAAACTACACTTCCCCAGAGACCAAGCTGGGCCACTGTCTACCTACTTTTGTATTTTCTAGAAGCTAACAGTAGGTTGTGGGTTTTTTTGACATGTGTGTGTGTGTGTTTGTGTACATGTGTGTATGTGACTGCGTGTGTACATCGATATGGCTGTGTGTGGTCTGAGGTCAGCATTAGAATGCTAGATGTCTCCTTAATCACTTGCTCCCCAATTTGTCCTCTCTCTCTCTCTCTCTCTCTCTCTCTCTCT